TCGGATAACATTCGTTCGTTATTGAATTGCTACCACATGCCAAGATTGACAAGAAATCGGCGACACCAAGCCCTTGGGCGATTGCAAGCTGGACAAACCGCCCGGCAAGTAACCAATACATTTCAAGTCCACATAAGGACCATATACAGGCTCCAGCAACGGTACCAGACCACCAACACTACAGATGACCGACCACGTAGTAGAAGACCAAGGGTCACCACCAGACGTCAGGAACGTCAGATTGTGCGAAAGCATCTTCAAGATCGCTTTGTTACTGCTGCGGAAACTGCTCGACAGACCATGGGGACACACCAGCGATAAACCGTGCGTCGACGATTGACGAGCAGACACCTCCACTGTCACAGGCCTCACCGAGGCCCATTCTGACACCACGCCATCGCCGGGACCGTCTTCAGTGGGCAACACAGCACCAGCATTGGGGCCACCAGCAGTGGAGAAGCGTCCTCTTCCCAGACGAGAGCCGTTACTGTATCTCAACAGCAGATGGCAGAGGGAGAGAGAGAGTCGGATGCTTGTGTTTTTGAGAGAGACTCGTTGGGTGGTCCGAGCATCATTGTGCAGGGTGGAATTGGTCTTGCACAGAGGGTCGGCCCTGTGGTCTTCCAGAACATCGGTCCAGGGAGAGGCAATGGTATCACAGCAGCTCGGTACATTGATCAAGTCTTGAGACACACGTCATACCTCATTTGGCACTTCGCCGCAACCACGAGTTTCAGCTTGATATCGCCCATGCCCACACTGTGAGAGCAACAAGAGACTTTCTCCAGCAGAATGGCATCAGAACCATGCAGTGACCCGCCCTCAGTCACGATTAAAATCCCATTGAGCTCCTGTGGGACGAGTTTCAAAAGACGACGGAATGACGTCCGACCAAGGCCGACAACTGCACCTGAACTGCGTCAGGCCAAAGACGTGTATATTCGTCCGTGGTCAGGCGTTCCACAGAGTGTGGGCTCAAGTGCCTATGGCCTTCATCAACCGCCTCATCCATTCCATGTATCGACATTGCACGGCAGTCATCAATGCACATGGCGGACACACAAGATACTGACTTGTGATGCAATTTTCTCAGAGACTTGTGTTGTGTTTTACTTTAAGAACATTTGACACTTTAATTTTAACGTTGATTATCAGTTTTACCAAGTTTCATCTTTTTTAATATGTCTCAAAGTATGTTTACAGTGTTTGGACAAATAAGGTGTCTCATATATCTATCCATGGTGACGTTTCTTTTGCGGTTCAGTATATGTATATATATTTAATCTTTGGCAGCAGCATCTTAATGCCTTTACATAAGACATACTGTATAACTCATCCATGAATCATATCAATGAAAGTTACTATTATGGACTAACAAAATGAAACTTCTGATCACCAAATACAATCCAAAAAAGTATTAATAACACGTCCCATTTTAATTCTGGAAACCCAAAAGTCCAGAAACTCTACGCTCTTTGCCCAGTCTCGGTTAAAGGTATTTACAAAATTAAACATGCCGTTTTCATGGGAACATACCAAGGAAGAAAAAATGAAAAAAAAATTGTTGAAAAACTCAATATTTAGACTATGTCGCCCATGGGTAGGCCCATGGGCAGGCCCATGGGCGAGAATATGTTCCTTTACTTTATTAAATACATTAATAAACAAGTATTACTATTATGAGCATCAGTCAAAATAGTGTTATACTAATACCTATTACATCTTAAGGTGAAATAATTCTGCAATATGTTTGTTGGTTGGTTTGTTGTTTAACGCCGCTCTCTGCAATAGTCCAGCTATATGAGGGCAGTCTGTAAATAATCGAGTCTGGACCAGACAATCCAGTGATTAATATCATGAGCATCGGTCCACGCAATTGGGATCGATGACATGCATCAACCAAGTCAGCGAGCCTGACCACCCGATCCCGTTAGTCGCCTCTTACCACAAGCATAGTCGCCTGTTACGGTAAGCATGGGTTGCTGAAGACCTATTCTACCCCGTATCTTCAGGGGTCAAATTCTGCAATATGGTAACAAGTGGGTGGTTAACATGGCAAAAATAATACATTGTACTGTGATTTCCAACATTTTACCTTTTCAAGGTTCACAGAACTTTGTCTTATAAAGAAAGGAGAGAAAATGGAATATTAAAACGAGTAAAATACTAGAATCATAAATATTGACCAAAACGTGATCTTAAAATATTTTGACATGTAATCAAATTCTAAATCTAGGGATCAAGTTAGCTATTTATTTATTTCGTATATTATGATCATATGCCCCATCGTACAAACGAAGCATTTCCATTTAGAGCATCATTTCTTGCTATATTTTCTCACTTTTAAACCGTTCATTTAATTCCAAGACATATAAGCATAATTTTGTATGGGCACCTCTTTTTATTCTAATTTCAATAAACGACAACAAAATAATCTCTCTTTCTGTGTGAATATATCACAAGGAAGAAACCATGATAGGTCTCATAGAGTGGCATCCATCCATTGACTTGCAAAAATGGTCAGTATCACCTTAGAAGATAGAATAACACCAGGATACAGTCCATTAAAAGGTACGGTATGTTTGCAATGAAGTTGAGGTGGAAAATCAGTAGGGCTTTGAATAAAGATATCACACTGCATTTAGTTGGGTGTTTTTCATCTGATCGACTTCTTAGAACGATGCTGGACATGAGTTAAGCTTCATCTTCAGGCCCACTTTTGTCATACATGGAGTTGTCTTCTTGAACTTCTTCAAACAACTGCTTTTGGTAGCGCCTTATTTGCCCAGGTGATTGTGGTTCCCAGAACTAACAAGGTTGGCTGGGAACCCGGCAATGGTGCTCCCTATGTAGAGGAAGCACCTTGACGGCTCAGCACTTGTGTAGCATTTGCAAAAGGCATTAACGACCAGATGATATTCGGTAAAAGCAACACAAGTCATTCTGCAGGCTCCACTGAATTTAAACTCTACTAGGCATCTTCACGACAAGAAGTGACCTTTTAGGATAAACAGTTCCTTGATTATTTGTACCCCAAAAAGCATCAACCTCTAAAAACGTTTGTTAAATTGTGTGCCGTTTTATTGCTCCATGTGTCATTTTCTGTTGTTTTCTAAGTCTACAATCAGTTACATGTAGCACCTTCCTATATACAAAAACATCCATCTTGGGTTAGTATTATCACCGTCATCTTCTACGTCCTCATCGTTATCGTCATAGCGGAGGAGGATGCTAACACAACGGGGAAGGTGATAGAACCGATGAACGGCAGATTCCAACTTGGGTTTGAACATAAATCTCGCACTAACGTGTACAGGTTATAAATGCTGATAATAAATAGAGGTTATCACGCGAGTGTGTTTGGGGATGGTAAATATCCTGCATTAGGAATAAACATTGTATTTAGCGAGCCTTGGAATGTTTATTCCTACTGCAGGATATTTACCATCTCCAAACACAACCTCTTTATCATATAATGTCATTCTTTAATTCTGTGCTTTAAAATCGCTTTCCCTCTCTCACAAACATTACCGAAACATTGCGCGTTTTCCTGGAATGCGCGCATTAATATTTATTACGTCACAGGGTAAGTGATGTGTCAGTCGGACAGTGACAGTAGCCAATATAGTTCCAACTGAAATCTGTTTCTTATACAGTGGCCAGGCAACATATACGCAAAACAACAGTTGTTTTTATTAATTAATTGCCTTCGCGGCAATCCATCGGTCTGTCCGCTAGAGTAACTGCCCTTTGTCAAAGGGAAGCTACTCTAACCCTAGTCTATGATACGTCACGGCCACGGTCAGACGTTGTTGACAGTCGGTCTGTCCTGTTAAAACGTTAAGAAGTGTAGTCAGATGTACACAAAGCGACAAAACGAAACAAGGTAACAATTCAAACATAATTCGGCAAAATCCAACTATTTTAATTTGTGGAGAAGGTTTCAAAGCCGCAGAGGTCTACAAGCACAGATGTGGCTACTGTTCCCGCTCGGCTAGGCTTCGTGCCCTCGCAAAATTGTTTCGAAATTTCCAAAGTTGCCAAAACTTATAAAATGCCTTAGCTACGTCACAGTTAGACACTGATTTTCAGTATATTAGAGTGTTCTTTTGATAATGATGGCAATTATCCCTGAAGTTTATCCAGATTCCCGATGGTTAATTCTGACTCGATCGCCGAATGGCGAGGGCGACGCCATGTTTGTTTATAAACAGTGAAAGTAGTCCTACTTGACATTTGATATTTGCATCTCTATCCGCAAATGACCCCAACGGATATCGTTTTTATCTGTTGGATTTATCCTGCCGAGAAACCTACCCATTATATGATAAAGTAATATATCTCTGTAACTGATGATTTGAATGTAGCTTTCGTTGAGGTGTACATTAACATTACCCTGACGCTACATCTAATCATAATGATTTTTCACATCATGCATGAACACAGAAACCAAAGTACATGCGCCTATAGGAGAACTCACAATCATTAATGCAATTTAGCTAAACACACGCTTACAAAAGCCTCCGAGACAAAATGGTGAATGGTGCGGCGTTAACAAGAAACAAACGAACAAACAAACATATTATTTACCAATAGATGATTCAGACTATGATCATGATATTTTTTAATTAAGCAGAAAATCAAAAGATAATTTCTTTAATACGAAAGGTAAAGGGTTGCTGGAATTGTGTAGCAACTTTTACATGCACATTTTGAATGGCAGATCAGGGAACGATTCATACGATGATTTTACGTTTATCGGACACCCAGGTAACAGTGTGGTGGATCATTTCATTGTTTGTAGTCTGTATTCTTGCGTTAAGAATTTTATTATAATTTTACGACCCGAATCCGATCATTTACCTATTACGGTTGAGATGCCTATGTATTTTATGACCGAATGGCCGCCCATAGAAATAGCGTGTTTTCCGCTGGAAGAGAAAACAGCTTGTAGAAATCCCATACAGAAACAGACTATAGAATACTAGCGCATGCGCGGTCCATGTCAACATGTCAGCTCCCTACCGCCGAAACAGAACGGGTTACCGGTCTGTTATTACCTCAAGTTGTGGTAATAAAATTATGACAAGCACGTGTATAGATAGGGAAACTATATGGAAGAATAGCGATATCAACTTTTCAGTCACAAATCCACGGGAAATATTTTTATAAAATCTCAGAAAAATACGAGGGTATTCGGCCACCAGGATTTATGAAAGTGGTGTAATCGGCAGTGATGTAGGTAGGGTGTAGGACCACATTGCGGCTCTCGGCTAGATGTTCTAAACCTGGTCAATCCTTCCACGTTCCCAATGTTGATGTTGTTCACTCTGACGTCATGTGTTGAAAGTTGTCTTCAGTGACTCGACTTTGGCCCAGGGTTTTAGTAATACTTTACTGATCATGAATCGGCAGTTACGAATGGCTCAATTCAATACTATGGTCCCTTACCAAACTGGAACAAGCCTAAACGATCCCATGTTGATGAAAACGCACCAAAAATATCATTTGAAGTCGGATTAAGTCATTTTTTCAAAGCTTTCTGTTCTAACTCTTCATTGAGTTTTCTTTATGATCTTCAGGTAACGGAGAAGGGTGTTAAACTTTCTTTGTGGATGAAGGACTTTAAAGATGGACTTTATTGTAAGTACCACAAGAATCCAATCTCATTGATGTTATGTCTGTTTTTTAACTATCAAACACTGTCAAACGATCTAAAACAAATCACAAGTTAATGTGATTCAGGATATTTTTTACTTTCTTACTTTGTCTCAAAAAACACAAATCATGATCACAAAAATTATGGAAACAGTGTGATCAATTTCTATAGTTTTGACATTGACAAGACAAGCTTTCTCAGAATAGGTCTTCAGCGACCCATGCTTGCCTAAAAAGGCAACTATGCTTATCGTAAGAGACGACTAACGTGATCGGGGAGTCAGGCTCGCTGACTTGGTTGATGCATGTCATCGTATCCCAATTTCGTGAATCGATGTTCATGATGTTAATCACTGAATTGTCTGGTCCAGCCTCAATTATTTACAGACCGCCGTCATATAGCTGGAACATTGCTGAGTGCAGCGTTAAGCAACAAACAGTACGATTAACATCATTCCACTGGTTACAAAGTAGTACATCAGGGGTAGGGCTGGGACTTGGGTACTTAAGTCAGGTGGGTACTGAGTAGGACCCGGGTACCCACAGAACTACCTGGACCCTTGGTTATATTGTTTAATGACAAAAAATTCTAAAACTATGGTTACACTATAAGTCACTAATGTTCCCATTCCTTTCTGCCAGGGCTATGGTCAAACTATATCAATCAGACAGTTCGTACCTATCTCTTGATATCTACAGGAGGTACCAGGGTAGGGTCGGGTAATAGGGTGGTGGGTGCCCGGGTAGTAAATTTGGACTCATCACAACTCCCTCAGTTGAGACAACTATGCAATATGTCTGCATTCATGATGTTGACATTTCAGGTGAAACAGGAGCCATGTGGAGAAAGTCCGTCTCCTCCAGAGTGTGAGAGACTCCAGAATAACTACATGGAAGTTGAGGCACCAGGTGATGACCGTTTTCTGTGTAAGTGACATTTCCATGTCAGTAGCATTTCTGTGTAAGTAGTATTTCCATGTAAATAGCATTTCTGTATATTTAAATTTTTATTGTGTTCATTGGAATTCCTGCATTCTGATTAGCTGAATTGGTCACGTGTTATTGCATTCATTTCCACGCCCTCTGAGGCGCACTACTTTTATTACTGCAGAATGTCAGGGAATGCCAATATAACAGTCGAGGGAATTCCATTTCTGCTCACATGCATCGTCATGCACATGCCATTTAGCGACATTCATGCATTCAAACTACCCTTTGAAACCGAAGGCCGAGGATGAATGAAACAGAAAACGCTCGCCTGTTTTTTCCCGCTCGCCTCGGTTCAACTTTCATGTCTTCGGGTTTCAATTCTTACTAGCATTTTCAAAATGTGTTTTAGTAATGTTTGAATCTGGCAGTAACTGACCATGTCATTTGAAACAGCCGCCTTCTCCCGGGCATATTTCTTCCGGTTCGTTACAGTCTGACTGTTGCAGTTCTTCTCGCCTCTTGCCTTAACTGACAGGTCCTATGAACAATGTTTTGATCCTACTCTCGGTTGATTGGCTACTGACTGTGTAGGCATGTCAAGTTATGTGCATAAATTAAACGATCACATGATTCATGTCACCCCACAGTATGTATTCATACACCAGGAATGTTTATCAATTTCGTCATTTTTGTCTGCTTTGATATATTTAACTGTTTTTGGTTAAACTATCGTAAGAGTTCACTGTGTATTTTTTTTGGTTCATTGAGGTATAAAATTGAAAAAGCGATGTGAAAACTGTATTAATCCGCATAGCGGATTCATAGTTTTCACGTCGCTTTTTCAAAAACTTGGGATTCATGCAGTTTTCACATCGCTTTTTTTATTCATACCTCAGTGAACCGAAACAAATACAGTCAATCCTTAAGTAAGTAACATTTCTGTGTCAGTAACATTTCCATGTAAGTAACATTTCTGTGTCAGTAACATTTCCATGTAAGTAGCATTTCCTGTGTAAGTAGCATTTCTGTGTAAGTGACAGTGGCTGACTTACAGGTAGAGTACCATAAAATATGAGTAAATTTGTAAAAGCACAACCAGGGCGTTTACAAGAACTTCCTTCACGTATGGTGAGAAAATGAAGATCATTCCCATTGCGGAGGTAAATGGAAACCAAGCAACTGGACATCAGTATGGGTGTGCCAAGTCCAACAACAAGGTGGACAAGGTGAAGCTGGTTGTACGACTGATCAGAGGCCTCGTCATCACTTAACAAGTTGGGCATCGTATCAGCTAAATTCAAGGCCAGTATTGGATGGGACACAGCTTCAGCTTCATGAGTTGTCAGACACAAGATTCACATTGCCTAGAAACTACACGCTGACTTTGAAGAAAATAGGGAGGATAACAGCCGGACCAGATTCACAATACCTTTGATATTCCATACCAGCAGAAAATCGGGTTCAGGGGAGAGAAAAGGGGGCATGGTTGGCCCAGTCGTCTAAGGCGCCGCGATTCGCTGTGCAGAGTTGCGTCCCTTGGGCACGCCAGAAACCTATGATTGTGGGTTCGAATCCCAGTTCGCCCCGATTATGTTTCTAGGTTTGTCGGCACCATACCTGTGCTCATGGATTTCACCAGAGTGGTAAACGTCTAAGACCTGCATCACTTCGGGCTTTCCTCCCACATTATGTTGACACGCCGTGATATAAATGGAATACTGTTAAAAGCAGCGTTAAACCAAACTCACTCAAAGGAGAGAAAAGGACTGAAGGGAATGACAGACAGATTCACAGAGATGCTGGCTGTTGCAGGAACAAGTTGCCACCCTATGTGTTTTTCAGAGAAAGACATTGCTAAGAATGAGCCACTTCCCAGGTGGTAGAGGTGAGGTGAAATTGGGCTTAACGTCGCGTCCAAGATTATTGCACTTATATGGCGACGTGCATGTACGTGTGTGTGTTTGTGTGGCTGCTTGTACTAGTCCGGACTAGTGCCGATTTATGGTGCTAGCCCACTGAGATACCATGCTGCAGTTTAACATGAATACCTCACTCAGACACAGTATACTTACTCCGAGCCGACCAGTCCTTGTTTAAGCCCCTTAATGCCGAGCGCCAGACAGGGTAACAACAAGTACCATCTTTTAACGTCTTTTGGTATGACGCGGCCCGGGATCGAACCCAGGACCTTCTGCTCTCCGGGCGGACGCTCTACCACTAGACCACGGAGGCGGTCCCCAGGTGGTAGAAGTACATGTACAGGAATAGGGCTGGTTTCGATGAAGAAATCACAAAAGACTGGATCAGAACTGGAATTTAACCCTGCACTATTGTATCTGAGTGGGTTGGTTAGCTTGGTAAAACCGGCATTAATCCGGACCAGTACAGACAACCACCAGATGCGTGAAGTCGTTCTGGCATGTCGCTATATTAGTGCAGTAATCTTGGAACACAATGTTAAACCCAATTTCACCTCACCTCACCTCACCTCACCTCACCTCACCTCACCTCACCTCACTGCACCTCACCTTGCCGCCCCTTCGTTGACAGTGGTACTGCCATGACAATCTAATAAGCTAATATACATGATATATTAACATGTGTGTGTTTGTACCTCAGATTGCCAGGACTGCAACAAGGAGTATGAAGGGGACTGTTCAGTACACGGACCTCTTCTCATGGTGGCAGACACACAGGTATTCTTCTCTCTTCTCTTTTCAATAATAATAATCATTTTGAATTGTACCAGTAGCAATCTTCAGTCAAGTAGATACAAGGGAGTGATTCTTGTTATCAGTATTTGTAAGTGAGTCATTAACACATACTTATGATATACCGTATTTGACGTAATAAGTGCCCAGGGCGCTCTCAATATTAGAAATAGGGGCTGTTATTAGAATATAATTTTGGTGAGAGAAAAAACAGAGTTTAAAGATTGTATATTTCGTGGTTAATGCTGACAGCCTGAAATAATACAAAAGAAAAACATGTGCGTATTATACTCAATAGATATATTTGCCAGAATTTAATTGCCCATAATTAAGGGTGCATATATCACAAGAGTGTGTATTATCATGATTATACAAGAGTGAATTTAAGTCTTGTATACATGGATCAATCGGAAGGGGTGCTAATTGGGATTGTTCACTAGCCAATATATTCGCAAATATCACGGTGGGCACTTATTAGAGTGGGTCTCTTATTACGCCAAATACAGTTGTTGGAATCATGCAATGGACTCTGCAGAAATTTCTTATGATTATGGAAAGGGTTTTGAAAAACATATACAATTTATTTTCAAATGTGGAATGATTTCAGGAAACACCAGGAAGCTCAGACAGAGCGTGGAAAACGATGCCTGTTGGTCTGGAGATTGAGGAATCTGGGATCCCAGGCGCTGGTCTTGGAGTTTGGGCGTCTCGGGACTTTGTTCCACGCACCTGCTTTGGGCCGTACGAGGGAGACTCCATCCAAGATGAGAACACTGCTCATGGATCAGGATACAGTTGGCAAGTATGTTTGGTACAAAAATACTTTCGGATATCATAGAAATATGCTTTTTGCCATATAAATATTCATGGCATTTAACAAAGAAGTCTATTCTTTAATGATCAAGTAACAACCACTTCTTTGATAGGCATTTAGAAGTTGGAGTAGTAGGTGGGTTAAGAATTTATGGATAAACAACTTCCTTCTTACAATTAAGAGCGACGTTTCGGTGTAGTTTCTAACACAATCTCATTAAAATCAGATCTTAGTTTTCGCTACCGCTAAACAAAGATCTGACGACATCCCATTAGGGTCACCTCAGAACGACCTTTCGCGAATTTTGACCGACCAATGAAATGACTGGCAAGAAATCGACAGTGGCCAATCAGAAGACATTTTTCTGGAGCTTTACGACACTAGTTTCAAACTGGTGACTACGCTTCGAAACATATTTTGACATATTCTCGATTAAAAAAATTAAAACTGATAATTCTGGAATGGCTTATAGATGGCCTAGATTGTATGGATATAATCATAAAACCCGTAACTGTTGTTCGGAATACACCGTGTTGAATATTTACTGGTTGCATGATTAGAAAACACATTCCGACTGTCACTTTCATGATCTGGTAAGCGACGCTCTGATTGGCTGGGTGAAAGGTCGTTCTGACGTGACTCTTAATGGGATTGTCCTCAGATCTTTGTTTAGCGATAGCGAGAACAAAGATCCGATTTTAATGAGATTGGTTCTAACACCGTTATCAAGCAAGTGATATACAGAGTGTGGTTGGCAAGTATATATACAACTCATCAAAGACCCCAATCAGCCATAATCCCGTTGTTTAAATTACTGGCTTCATCCTTTGTTTAGGTCACTGACTTCACCGATGATTGTAATCACTACCCTTGTGTGTACATAACAGGCTTCTCTACTCCAGTATAACAATATCTACTCTACTGTATAAACATTGCCTCCTACTTGTATATATACTTGCCAACCACACTCTGTAAATCACTTCCTTGATAACGGTGTTAGAACCTACACTGAAACGTCGCTCTTAATTGTAATAAAGAAGTTGTTTATCCATAAATTCTTATCCTTACTAAGTAACAACCAGTTGACCTTCCTAGGGTTTTTGGAGGGCACAGGTGTCGTCTAAGGCGCCGCGATTCGCTTTGCAGAGTTGCGTCCCTTGGGCATGCCAGAAACCTATGATTGTGGGTTCGAATCCCGGTTCGACCCAATTATGTTTCTAGGTTTGTCAGCACCATACCCGTGCTCGTGGGTTTCACCGAAGTGGTAAACGTCTGAAACCTGCATCACTTCAGGCTTTCCTCCCACATTAAGCTGACACACCGCGATGTGACTGGAATACTGTTAAAAGCGGCGTTAAACCCAACTCACTCACTCACTCACTCCTAAGGATTTTGTGTTCTGTCTGCAATTTCACAGGGGGAAAAAGTAGCTCTGAAAAAACATGTTGTGATTGTTTCCAATGAACAAAATCTGAAAAATGTACCTTTTTTTATAATCATTTTCGCTTCATTTAACATCTTATTCACAAAACAAGTTTATGTGTGTGTTATAAAAAATAACAAAATGACTCTGTGTCAACACTTCTCCCATGATGTATGCCACATTACACACACATTTCCTAAACTAGGTTCAGGCCACTGGGATGTCAACTTGGGTGAAATATATACCTGTTAAGAGACACAGGATAGGTGCTAGGTTATCACCTCTAGTTATGAAACGTGAAGATTCGGGGTAGGAACGGTCTTCAGCAACCCATGCTTGCCGTAAAAGGCGTCTATGCTTGTCGTAAGAGGCGACTAATGGGATCGGGTGGTCAGGCCTGCTGACTTGGTTGATGCATGTCATCGATCCCAATTGCGTGGATCGATGCTCATGATGTAAATCACTGGATTGTCTGGTCCAGACTCGATTATTTACTGCGCCGTCATATAGCTGGAATATTGCTGAGTGCAGCGTTAAACACCAAACCAACCAACCAACCTCTCGTTACAGTTTGTTTTATTTAGCATGTCTCAAATGCAAAGTTTCTAAGCTTGTCATCCTTCTACCCATAAACAAGTATTTTGAGAATTATCAGTTTTGATTCAAAAAAGGCTAGATTAGGTAGGTTTGAATAATTTTGTATTATTTATTTTATCCCAAGGAATTGTATTGAAAGCAGGGAGAGCATTTCTCTAGCCTTCCAACAGTACTTCACACATCTTTGAAATCATTTTGAATACATTCTGTTTCTTGTGTGAAAATTTGGCAACACATTTACAGTTAAGTCTGCCCCTGTTTGTCTGTTGACAGTTAATCTGCATCTGTTAGTCTGACCCCCTTAGTCTGTCTTCTGTTAGTCTGCCCCTGTTAGTGTGCCTCCCTCACTGTTAGTCTGCCCCTCTTAGTCTGCCTTCCTCCCTGTCAGTCTACTCATTAGTCTGTCTTTTGTTAGTCTGCCCCTGTTAGTGTGCCTTCCTCCCTGTCAGTCTACTCATTAGTCTGTCTTTTGTTAGTCTGCCCCTGTTAGTGTGCCTTCCTCCCTGTCAGTCTACTCATTAGTCTGCCCCTGTTAGTGTGTCTCCCTCCCTGTCAGTCTACCCATTAGTCTGTCTACTGTTAGTCTGCCCGTTAGTGTGTCTCCCTCCCTGTCAGTCTACCCATAAGTCTGTCTACTGTTAGTCTGCCCCTTTTAGTGTGCCTCCCTCCCTGTAAGTCTGCTTGACATGCTTGATAAAGGTCATAGCATATCTACCATATATCTGCATTGAAACTTTTTTCAATATACTTCCATTTACAACATGAATGACCAATATTTTCAGAATCTTTCTCTCTCCCCCCCCCCCCCCAAATCTTTTTTTAAAAATATCAAATTGTAAAGGTATATTGAATTATTTCTACTATTGTTGTGGTAAAGTGCGCTGACTTGGTTGATGCATGTCATCGTAAACCCAACCACGTAGATTGATGCTCATGATATCCATCACTGGATTGTCTGGTCCAGACTCGATTATTCACAGACCGCCGTTATATAGCTGGAATATTGCTGAGTGCAGCGTTAAACAACAAACAAACAAACAAACAAACAAAACAAAGATATCCGCCTCAACACATTTTGACACAGTCAGTCCGTCCGTAAGTCCGTGCAAGATGTTGTTTCCCGAGCAGATCATCAAAACTGTACAATTTTCCTTCACCAAACTTGGCACATAGATAGGTCTAGTGGTGAACTGGAGCCATTTCATAATTTGGAATTTAAAAAAATAATTTTACAACTTTTTAGGCTGGAAATGCTCGTGGTTTTTTTTTTAGCAGATCCACCAAACCAAGCTATACAATATTTCTTCACTAAACTTGGCACATAGATATGCCTAGTGTTGACCTAGTGCCTTTTGCCTTCAAGGACAATATATGCCGGAGGAAGCATGTGACCAAAGATTCTTTTCTACGATATTATTGTAGAATCTGTTCCTACATGTCCAAAGAAAATCAGGTTGGGTTCAAGATACATTTAGAACGTATAAGAATAACACTACTAGTTGTCATTCATATTAATGCATTTCATATTGTTTGGATTATTCTCAAACCATGCAGATGCTGTGGGCTAAAAAGAGTTCTCATCACACCTTGTCATCTATAGTGTATTTTGTATTTGCTTTCAATCAGATCCACACAGATGGACAACCTTCCCACTTTGTAGATGGCCAACACTGCAACACAGCCAACTGGATGAGATATGTCAACTGTGCTCGAACAGAGGAAGAACAGAATCTGACTGCATTTCAATACAATGGCCATATCTACTACAGAGCCTACAAAAAGATCGGTGTTGGTTGCGAGCTGCTTGTATGGTACGGACACAAGTATGCAAGGAACCTTGGTATCGAGAGACAACTTACACTCCAAGAGGGGCACACTGAAGGTAAACACTTTTAGAATACTGACATTAGCGAGGCTGCATTGTAGGGGAAACAGGTCAATATTATCTTTCGCTAACTTACATGTCTTAATAAAAAGATTAATGCAATCACTAAAATCTAACAAATTTCTGATCCAGCTTTTATTATGTTGCACATTTTCCTGAATTATATGTCAATAAATATATAAATAGTGATCAAAAGGACGGTCTGGTAGCCTAGTGATTAAAGCATTCGCTCATTACACCGAAGACCGGGATTGATTCCCGACATGGGTACAATGTGTGAAGCCCATTTCTGGTACCCCCTGCCATGATATTGCTGGAATATTGCTAAAAGCGGCATAAAATCATACTCACTCACTAGTGATCTTATGGCATTTTTTCAATTATGTTCCCATAATCTGAAAAAAAAACATGGCTACAAGCGTGGCAGCCATATTGAAAAACCTATTTATCAGCATTACTCATGCCATGTTTGTTCAAATTGAAAAATTTTAAAATGATATTCGGGATAAATGTAGTTAGTAGCGACATTTTGTACAAGCATATTTATTTAGTGGTGGGGATCAACATAATTATATGTTCTGATTTTTTTGATTTTTTTTTATCAGAGCTCCAGATAAGCTGCGTATCTGCGTAAAATACGCATCAGAAATGCAGAAATACGCAGTAAAAGAAAATCCAAGCATATCAAATACGCAACGAACATTACAGATACGCTACAAAAATAAAACTTGTGCGTATCATCAAAATATTGTGAAGTAACCCAGCGTATTCGATTAGCGAATCAGCAACTTATTTTGAAATTATAAACGGGCATTCCACCAACCTTGCCAACCGTTACATCATGATCATTTGCCATCACACTTTCTTGTGGAAGTATCGTGGTATTTGTGAGTCCTATAAAGCTCTCTTACCCACATGACACCAGTTTGTAGGGACTAGATGAATAGTGTTGTTAAATATTTAACTTAAAGCCCCACCCTGACTATAAATAGCCCGCAAGGTGGCGGTGTTTCAGTTTCGAACAATGACTGACAATGTAAACACAACCGAGTGTCGGGAGACGTTTTTTGAAAACCATACGGGAACCAGATCACCATTGACCATCAAACTTTGCATCAACTTGTATGACAAACCATGGATACAACAAATGGCTCCATATCAAGATATAAGGCAATAAATTTTCTGTAGTTTTATCCTAAAAAATCGAATCGATCGTGTTTGGCGTCTGCATCGATCACAGTGGGAGGAGCTTATTTACGTTTGCGCTATAAATAGCAAAGCCCATGGTCATGTGTACATGTGGCACATTTAATGCATTTGTGGTCAAAGTGTATTGTGTTGTATATTTTTACGGCAGAACAGCAGCAGAACATCAGTTTCAGTTAATGTAACAGTAACGATACTTAAATACGAAATTGACGATGCGATTCTTTCAGTTCAATCTGAAAATTACAGATATTTGTTTAGTTTTGGTCATTTGCATTCAACAGTTAGATTTGTGCCACACAATAATCAGTTTATATTCATAAAACGTAAATTATTACAGAGATTTTTCAACTAGTGTTTAGGAAGGGGCCTAATTTGAAGCACCAAAAGTTGCGCGAATATTTCTCAGCTTGACTACAATAGATGAATATGTTACGTGTATCAACATAACAATGCACATAAGCAACTGGTAAATAAGTAACTGAATATACTTGATGTTTTGGCCTACAGAAGGCGTATCCGGATAATATTGTACTTACGATAAACGAAAACTCCAATACACATATAGCAAGACAACTTTAATTATGAATTTCCTTTTCTTTCACAGAATTTTCACACACAAAACTGAGTTTGATCATTAGATCCACACTTGTCCCATGTATTTTTTGTTCGGGGTATTTGGGTACACTTCGCGCACAAGTTTTATAATACAATTTGGGATCCCTTTCCCGTTTTGTCCACACCAATCCTTCATCTGCTGCAACGTTTAATTCCGTGTCTTCAAGTCCAAGTATCTACGATCTCTCCAAACACTTCGTTTATTTAGCTCAGTCCAGAAACAATGTGTTCGAATCGACGAATTTCTGCAACATGGTGGCCGCACCATTCCCTAACTGCGATTGCCTGTGCCGTGTCACGCATGGTTGACAAAAGAAGTGTGAACATACATATTCGGCTTCATCTGGTTCCAATATGAAATCTAGCTGTGACACTGATTCGCTAATCCCAAGAATCGGCACTGAATTTATCAAAGTTTCTGTTGCACTTGCAAGGGCGGGAAGAGAGGCGCCATCTTGTCGATTCGAGTTGTGAATCGGAATGATGTCATCTTGAACTGGAACTTTCTCCACGATAAAGTCACCAATGTCACAATCGAAATGACCTAAGGCTCCCTGATTATCTCGAACAATTCTTCGGCTTCACATGAAAATGTTCTGTTGATCATATTGAAGACAAGCGAAATTGCAAAGTTCTTGACAGTTGTAAGCAGCAACTCGATGCGCTCATGGGGCGTGGTTGCTAGGAGATCGCGTGTTTAGAAAGGCGAAAATAAAAAGTTTTAGAAAGTAATAAAAGAAATACCCAGTGCAATGAAAAAGTACCATGTACAGGATATTTTTTAAAATAATATTCACGAAAAAAATAATTTATTAATTTATCCCAAGGTCTAAATCCTGATCACGTGGTGGGTATTTGGAAGGAATCTTTGCGATGACGCCGTGAATGAGGCCGTGTGTATTACATTGTTGAATTCAACTGCCCAGGAAGATTGTTGAGGCATTGACATTATGACAGATGTTCGTCATGGATGGAGAGAAAAATGTATCTGAGAGAAACATTGTTGCTTTGAGCTTCGAGACAAAACACTACTGCTGAAGTAGCCAGCGACCTGAATGTAAGCTTGATGAAAGTAATGTTGAAACCCATTTTCACGCACATGACAGAATTAATGTGAACAAATATTTATCTGAACATCGTTTCGTAGTCTATGAGGCTGTCCGTTTTTGAATATTTTTATCTCCATTCCGACGTATAATAATATAATGTCTTCGTGTCTCAATTTTGCTGCCGCTGTGGAAAATTGCGCACCGATCTAATAAAAGAAATACTACTAGATCTACAATTGCACCGTCATAAAAGAACCAGGTCAACTTTATCTTTATCTTATTAAAAATTTGTTTCCGAAAAAAGCGAATGGATCTACATCATAAATTAATTCATAGACTAGATTCTAGTACCAAGTGTTGAACCTTTTTTCAAATGTCATAAAATAACTTGCACAATTATTGAAAGACATTTTTTGATAAGTCTGTCATATATTTTATTTCGTCCGCCCGCTCTCTGATTAGTTGAGGCTTGAGGGGAGAAGAAACACATACAAAAAATATGGATGGCCTTATGCAAATGACACTTGGCATGCCAATCAACAGGGATCTGGGTCACTGGGACCCGCCAAGTTTCACGGATCAAGTTACTTCGGCATGAGGAGCTTCATCGGACAAGTGAGACTTTGCCAAAATACATTGCTACTGGGCAATGAAAAAATGACAAGAAACTACTTTGATCATTTGAAAATATTTTTGACCATTACCAGGGTTTTTTACACGATCGTTGTCATCCAGATTCCAGATGAGGCAAGACGAACACAACGAAGAAAAACATTGTTGAAATCACTGATTACTGTATATATTGTGAGAAATGCTATTTCTAAACTGCAGATATACCGTACACCACAGGATAACGATTAGTGCCCCAACACATATTATGTTTCTTGTTCATTTACACTGCTCATATGCATCACGACAAACGAACGTATTTCGTTCTCGTCCAGAGATTTAGAACTATAATTTGTGTGTTGGACTGTGTTGGATAAATCGTGGACATTCCACGGTATCATTTTATGAAGATGTGAAGACGACATGGCAGGTAGGTTATGAAACCAAAGATGTACACGTTTGTTGAAAAGTCTTGGAATCGTTTGGTAGATATTTATATTACCCTTAAAACTTACGTCCTTGTTGTCAAACGGCCCACGTGGGTGGGTGTTTACATGACGTCACCCGTTTACGCATTAACCAATGAAATGTATGTGTTATCATGACGTCATATTGACCTGTCAAATCACTTGTATAAGCTCCGCCCACTAGAGTGCGGTAGTTACTACCGCAGATGGGGCTTTAAATACCCACATGTGTAAAAACTAGTGGGTTATAGAAATTTGAATACCCAGATAGAATTACTGATACCCAATGATTTTAAAATGCATGGGTAAAATACCCACAACACCAAAAACTTATCTGGAGCTCTGGTTTTATATTACATTTTAACCATAATTTCACCTTTGTACTTTGACCATGGTCCTAAAGTCTCTCAAGATGCATTTCCTTGGACTGTGAACATAATAGCCTCGGAAAGCAATGATGACATCAGAATTTGTTCAAGAGGTTTGAATCTGATTTTCAATATGGCCACCTCAGCAGCCGTGTTGTAAAAGCTAGTTATGCTGTTGAATGCATGTCCAGGTGAGCTACAAGGCAGTGGTAATATTCTTTTGCTGTGATGTTGAGAATCAAACACTGGTCTTTTGTTCTTGAACCACTTGAACCTTTGTCAGAGGGCACCTTGCACATGATGTTCTTGATCAATGATGTTGTGAAAATGGGCTGAATTTATTGTTGTGCTGTCAGATTTGTTTGCTTTGACAGGGAGGGTGGTTATCAGAGATATTGACAAGCAAAGTCTCATCATGTGCAGGACACAAAGATATAAATAAACCAGATAATAAAACCGGAATGTGTCTTACCGTATTTGACGTAATAAGCGCCCAGGGCACTCTCAAAATTAGAAATAGGGGGCTTTTATTAGAGTATAAATTTGGTGAAAGGGTTGAAAGATCATAAATTTCGTGGTTTATGCTGACAGCCAGAAATGATACTGAAGAAAAGTCTGCGTATTATACACAAAAGATATATTTTTCAAGAATTTAATTGCCCGTAATTAAGGGTGCATGTAACACACAAGTGTGTATTATACATGGATAAATAAGTCTTGTGTACATGGATCAATCGGAAGGATGCTAATTGGGATTGTTCACAAGCCAATGTATCAGCAAATATCACCGTAGGCGCTTATTATGTTGAATACGGTATTAAACATTCTCAGTACTTCCATCAAATAGTGCACTATTTTTGTATCTCGATCTTCCTTTTTCAGACATGTACCCGTGTGACAGCTGTGATCTTGGGTTCTCATCCGTGGTGTTCTTGTGGAAACATCTCAAGAAGATGCATGGAGGAAAACTGACAGCTCAGATGAGGTTCATAGTTAACACTCAGGGTGTTAGCATCTGTGACTTTATTGAAAAGATAGAAAGCCGAGAAGAGGACAGAGACTCTCAGGAAATTAGCATCTGTGACTTTATTGTGAAGATAGAGAGCCCGGAGGACAACAGTGCCACTCAGGGCGTTAACATCTGTGACTTCAATGGGGATGTAGAAAGCCCGGAAGACAACAGTGCCACTCAGGGCATTAACATCCGTGACTTCAATGGGGATGTAGAGAGCCCGGAAGACAACAGTGCCACTCATGGCGTTAACATCCGTGACTTCAATGGGGATGTAGAGAGCCCGGAAGACAACAGTGCCACTCAGGGCGTTAACATCCGTGACTTCAATGGGGATGTAGAGAGCCCGGAAGACAACAGTGCCACTCAGGGCGTTAACATCCGTGACTTCAATGGGGATGTAGAGAGCCCGGAAGACAACAGTGCCACTCAGGGCGTTAACATCCGTGACTTCAATGGGGATGTAGAGTGCCCGGAAGACAACAGTGCCACTCAGGGCGTTAACATCCGTGACTTCAATGGAGATGTAGAGAGCCCGAAAGACAACAGTGCCACTCAGGGCATTAACATCCGTGAATTTATTGAGAAAGTAGAGTGCCCAGAAGAGGACAGTGCCACTCAGGACGTTGACATCCATGACTTTATAGTTAAGACAGAGTGCCCAGAAGAGGACAGTGACTTTCAGGACGTTGACATCCATGACTTTATAGTTAAGACAGAGAGCCCAGAGAACAGTGACACTCAGGACGTTGACATCCATGACTTTATAGTTAAGACAGAGAGCCAGGTACAGACCAGTGACGATGTCAATGAGGACAGGAACCCTGAACCAACAGAAACAGATAACCACCAGAAACGTAAACAGCGTCAGGGTGGGAAAGTGCATCAGTATGGTAAGCATAGCAAAGAATTCAATGCACCAAGTCGCTTGCAGACACGCTTGCAGACACGCCTGCAGACACACATGGAGAGACACTTGAGGAGTAAAACGAGGAGTAACACTCGAGTGAAGCTTTTTCCATGTGAGAAATGTGGGAAAACGTTTTCACTGGCAAGTAACCTGCAGACACATATGAATCTTCACAGCAGAGTTAAATCTTATTCCTGTAAAAAGTGTGGGAAAACATTTAGAAAAACAAGTGACCTTCAAAGGCACACGGGAAGTCACAGTAGAGCAAGACCATATGCATGTCCTGCATTTGAGGAGACATTAGCAAGATCCTCTGATTTGAAGAAGATGAAACATCACAACAAAGTCCAGCCATACACGTGCTATGAATGTGGTAAAGCATTTAAAAAGTCACGATACCTGCAGGCACACATGAAGCTCCACGTTGGAGTCAAATCGTATACATGTAGTGAGTGTGGAAAAGCATTTATGTTTCCATGCAACCTGGAGAAACACACAATGTGTCACACTGGAGTAAAACCTCATACGTGTAGTGAGTGTGAGAAAGCATTTTCAACTTCGCAAGGCCTTTATAGGCACATGAGTTTACACACTGGTGATAAACCATTCCAGTGTGGTGAGTGTGGCAATGTGTTTTCACATCCAGAAAGCCTGAGGAAACATAGAATGTTACACACTGGGGAGAAGCCATTCCAGTGTGGCACTTGTGGGAAAGCATTTATAGATTCAGGTCATCTGAAAATACACATGAGAAGTCACAGTGGAATCAAGCCTTACAAGTGTAGCGAGTGCGGGAAAACATTTACACAGTCAGGTAACCTCAAGTTGCACATGACAAGTCACAGTGGCATTAAGCCCTACCTGTGCAGTGAGTGCGGGAAAGCATTCAGCCTGATGAGTTACCTTCAGGGACACATGAGGCATCATGCTGGTATAAAACCATACGAGTGCAACGTGTGTGGGCTCAGATTTTGTGGCAACAAGAAGGCTCACATGAGAACTCACACTGGAGATAGGCCCTTTCTGTGTAGAGAATGTGGAAAAACATATACAACTGCGGGTAACCTACGGACACACCAGAGAAAAAGTCACATTGAAGTCAAACCTTACAAGTGTGATGAGTGTGACCTGACATTTACATCATTTGGTAAACTAAAGGTACACGCCAGAATTCACACTGGAGTTAAGTTTTACAACTGTGACACGTGTGGGAAACCATGTACAACACTGGGTAACCTGAAGGCACACAGGCAAACTCACGCTGGAGTCAGACCTTACAAATGTGAGAAGTGTGGGAAATACTATTCAACACCGGGTAATCTAAAGGCACACATAAAAAGAACCCACACTGGAGTCAATCGTAAGAACACTGAGGTGAAGAGTGTGGGAAATCAGTTAAAGATTCGAGTAACATGAAGCAACACATGCCTGTTGACAGTGGTGTCGAGCCTTGTTGGTTGCGAGAAAGAATTCACACATTCAGATAACCTGAAGGCACACTTTTGATGTTGCATTTAACCCAAATTAAATTCACGGGGCGGTTGGGTAGCCTAGTGGTTAAATGTCGCTCGTCACGCCAAAGACCTGGGTTCAATCCCTGACATGGGTACAATGTGTGAAGCCCATTTCTGGTGTTCCCCCATCGTGATATTGCTAGAATATTGCTAAAAGCGACGTAAAACATTCTCACTCACTCATTAAATTCGCATCTCCGTTCTCGCTATCACGAAACAAGGATCTGAGGACATCCTATTATGGGCCATGTGGGAACAACTTTTCATCCAACTTATCAGAGCGTCGCTTACAAGATTGGAAAAGTGACACTCAGAATGTGTTCACAAAAGTCGAAAGTTCACAGAAGTTCAGTCAGACATGACCTGTAATTGGATGTCCTGAGATCTTTGTTTAGCAGTAGCTAGAACTTAGACCTGATTTTAAAGAGACTGGCATTGAACTACATCCATGTAGTTATTGTGGCAAAGTATTGACAACATTGTCACTGAAGACACACAGGACTCTGTGAACAAGACCGTTTGTAGATGTACTCCTATTTTAATTACACAATTTAAGTATAAGATTTTAATTACATATGTATTACCTCAAATAAAAACACTTGCTTTTACACATTTATGTTAACTTCCTCTTGTTTTTGGCCATATGAGCTTATGTCATCGCAAGTCGTCCATCAACCATCCATCATCTGTTGTCTATGTCCATATTCCTTTGGCATGTGATCTGTGAAGATCCAGGGTAGAATAGGTCTTCAGCAATCCATGCTTGCCATAAAAGGCGACTGCTTGTAATAGTATGAGGCGACAATCGGGTGGTCTGGCCCGCTGACTTGGTTGAAGCATGTCATTGTATCCCAATTGTGTGGATCTATGCTCATGATGTCAACCACTGGATTGTCTGGTCCAGACTCGATTATTTACAGACCACCATCATTTAGCTGGAATATTGCTGAGTGTGGCATAAAACAACAAACCAACCAACCAACGTTTGACATGTTCAACTTCTTCTCTAAAATGTGTTGATTGATTGAACTGAAATTTTGTGTCAAGTTGTTACTATTAGATGGTTCAGGTTTGGTCAAGGCATCAAGATTTTAATTTCAATATGGCCGCCAGGTAGCCATTTGTGTCGCCAATCATAAACATCTCGCAGAAACCACTGAACAAATGAACGAAATTTTTGCGTGTTCACTGCATGAATTTGTGAAGGAGTTTTAAATTGAGTTAAAAATATTATTGTTTGGTGCGTGTGTAGTTAATATTTATTGACCTTTGTTCTTTAGACCATGCATGCGACCCGTGGAGATTCCGGGGTAGAATAGGTCTTCAGCAACCCATGCTTGCCGTAAAAGGCGACTATGCTTGTCGTAAAAGGCGACTAACGGGATCGCTGACTTGGTTGATACATGTCATCGATCCCAATTGCATGGATTGATGCTCATGATATCAGTCACTGGATTTTCTGGTCCAGACTTGATTATTTACAGACCACTGGAATTTACATATAGCTGGAATATTGCTGAGTGCGGCGTTAAACAACAAACCAACCAACCAACTTTAGACCATGCATTTAACTTCTCAAAAAATGCATTTCCTCGCACACACCGTCAATGTCATCTTTTGAGAGTGAGAAACCACTTGACAAGTGAAACTGGAACTTCACATGCTTGTCAAAAATGAATACAGCTGAATTTGTGTAAGAGGTTCGGATCTGATTTCCAAAATGGCCTCCATGGCAGCCAAATTGAAAACGTCATACATCTCTGCTCAAAGTGTACAGTAATGCTTTTAACATGTTAGTTGCATTTTCTGTAAACATCTCTGAAATTGCCACCGAGGAATCATAATTTTGTCTATGCTAAATTTAACTGTTGTGTATTGCAATAATGTTGTACAATAACACATTCATTCTTGGAGATTTGGAAACGTGGAAGTTTAGATACTTGTTTCATATTAATACACGCCTCCGTTGTCAAAAGGTAGAGTGTCCGCCCGGAGAGCAGAAGGTCCGGGGTTTTGATCCCCGGCCTCGTCATACCAAAAGGCGTTAAAAGATGGTACTTGTTGTTACCCTGTCTGGCGCTTGGCATTAAGGGGCTAAAACAAGGACTTGACGGCTTGGAGTGTACTGTGTCTGAGTTGGGTATGGTATCCCAGTGAGCTAGCACTTTAAATCGGCATCAATCCGGACTAGTACAAGCAGCCACACACACATACATACACGTGCATGCACGTCGCTATATAAGTGCAATAATATGGACGCAACGTGAAACCCCATTTCACCTCACCTCACCTCACGTTCAAATTGCCATTGATCACTAGCAAACGAGTTCTGTCTCTCGGTGATTCCTCCTCACACCATAACACTTCTTCCTCCACAACACAGCTCTGAGCGTGACATTCACGGCAACGTCGGTATACTCGTATTTCGACATCGCCGTGATAGAGGTGAAAACGAGACTCGTCGGTAAACCGAACCTGACTCCACTGAATTGCCGTCCAACGGACTCTGTCTACGCTACTGCAGACGCAATCGGCGGTGATTGTTGGTCAGAATCATTGGGCGTCTGACTGGTCTCCTCGCAACAATATCGTAACGTCTAAGACGTAGACATACAGTGTGTGCCTATATTCGACAAAGGCCAACGATGGTTCTGGCAGTGATTGTTGCAGGCTGTAACTGATTTCACAGATGGGTGGTTCGAATCCAACAATCTTGACGAACGCTCGTAACGGGGGGGCTTTCCGCTCCTTGGTCGTTGTCTGACAGTGTTTGTTTGCTGCCATAACATCCAAATGGTGTGTCTGTGCACGTTCAATCGCCTGGCAACTTCACGCTGCAACGTTCCTGACTGGAGCATACCAATGGCTCTCTAGCAGATAGACGTGGCACCTCCAAACTTCAAGTAATGATTGAAATTTGATGTTTTTCCGTGTTGCAGTTGTCGAGTGAATGTCTACAACACGCGTGCTTTTATTCCCTGGTTTACATAATCAATTATATGATTGCTGCATGAAAGACACTTTTTGCCATCAGATCATGTTTTTCTGCTGAGGTTGCGTTTTGTGCTACATGTTTTCATATTTGGACACCTGAAAATCTTTAGCACCAGGTGTTTGCGTAAAGATGGGGCATAGCAAGGGTTTCATTAGGCTGGATTCCAAGGCTGGTACCATAACGCTACTGCCCCGAACCGATCTTCTTCCACGACACAATCACCTCGACGTCGGTACACTTGAATCCATCCATTGCTGTGGCTGAGGTGAAAACGAGACTCGTCAGTGAATAGAACTTCTCCCCACTGCATGGCCGTCCAGCAGAGACGCTGTCTGCACCACTGGAGACGTGCTTGACGGTGGTTTCCTGTCAAAATGGGACGTTTGGCGGGTCTTCTGGCGACAATCCCTGCACATCTGTGGCGACGACGTACGGTTTGTGAAGATATTCGTCGAAGGCCAGGGATGCTTCTTGCAGTCACTGTTGCTGGCTGGAATCGATTTCGTAGGTGTGTTGTTCGAATCCAGTTGTCTTGTCGATTATTGATTACGCGTGACCTGCCACTCCGAGGATGGTCTGACTGTATTCGTCTGGCGCCAACGTTGCCATAAACACCGAATGGTGTTTCTGTGGGCGTTAAATTGTCTTACAAGATCACGTTGACTCGATCCTGCTTGAAATCAAGCATACTAATGGCTCGCAGACACTCATTTTCGGACAGGCGTGGCATTTCGTAATGTTGAACAATTGCGTAAGTTTCTTGTTTTTCTGAGTGGTTGTCAGCACGATGATAAACAATGCATATGGAATCCCAATAACGCACATGTTTTTTATACCCATTCTTTGGTAGTGAAATGCATGGGGCTTGTATAAAAGTCAACTTTTGCATGGAATGCATGCTTTTCTGTAGCAGTTGCGTTTTTGTGACTTGATTCCATACATGTACTACAATATTGAAAACCAAACTTTACTTGTTTGAAAAATACACTAAAATATTGGTGTCACAGGAACTTTTGTTGTTGAGTATATAATTCATGCCATTTCACGATACAAGTATGTTTATCTTGTATTTTTTTCGATGTGAGGGTAAATGATGCTTAATAGACATTTCACATCACAGTCAACAACTGTTTCAGTCATATCACAGCAGGACAAGTTGAGTCAAATACTTTAACCACTAGGCTACCCCACTGCCCCTATGGCATCTTGAAATGGAAGACTTGAAATGATTATTAATAATTAAGTGTTGTGTGATACTGTCTTTCATGCTCATGTCTCATGTATTGATGAGGATGGCCATATTGCGATTGAGGATGCGGATAAGATTTTTATTTTTCAAGTAGATAGAGGTTAAGTTTTTATTTACGCAAAATTTTGAGCTGTGTTTTTGATTTTTATACATGTCTCACTGTGTACTCCAGACTTAAAGCGTCTTGGAAAGTTCTTGAACCATCAATAAAACTACAGGAACATAAAATGAGTGAGTGAGTATGGTTTTACGCCGCTTTTAGCAATTTTCCAGCAATATCACGGCGGGGGACACCAGAAATGGGCTTCACACATTGTACCTATGTCAGGAATCGAACCCGGGGCTTTGGCGTGACGAGCAAACGCTTTAACCAGTAGGCTACCCGACCGCCCCGAACATAAAATGTGTTCAGAGTCAAATATTTTCAAAGGGACTAGTGACCGTCGGAGGTGAGGTCATATGGAGTGTATTAAACATCGCTTCAACATTATTGGACCTACATTATTGGACCTATATAGTGCCATGGGTGTGTGCGTGCGGCGGCTGGTTGTACTAGTCAGGACTAGTGGCTGTTTTATTGTGCTGGCTCAATGAGACACATATCACAGTTTAATACTGACACCACACTGACACCACACTGACACAGTATACTGACTCTGAGCTGCCAAGCGCAAGGCAGGGAAGCAACAAGTACCATCTTTTGGTATGAAGCGGCCAGGGATTGAACCGCCAATCTCCCACTCTCTGGGCAGATGCTCTATCCACTACACCAGGGAGGCAGTCTGTGTTAGAGAGTGCAAGAATTTTTTTATATATTTTCACAACTGTTGATGTCATTTTCCTTAGTTCTATGGTTTCCATATTTAAGTTTTAGACCAATATTTAAATGGAGGTTAATGCAGTTAAATCAAACTAACCCAAGGTATTTACACCACAGCGTAGTGTAGCCCCTGTGGTAATGTTTATATTTGTGGTCTCATTCTAGTTTTGAAGCTCCGTCTTTCAATGGACACATATCAACATTTCATGTTTACTGATCAGGTGGTCAGGCTCGCTGACTTGGTTGAAGCATGTCATCGATCCCAATTGCGTGGACCAATGCTCATGATATCAGTCACTGTATTGTCTGGTCCAGACTCGATTATTTACAGACTGCCGTCATATAGCCATAATATTGCCGAGTGCGGCGTTAAACAACAAACAAACCAACCAACCAACCATCTTCATCCACAGAGAATACCTGATGCCTGCAGAAATAGGCCTACCAGCTATGTAGTCGGTTTACATGCAGCCTGTAAGTATGGAAAGTATTGTACTTATTATGTGCAAACTGTTGAGGGTGTAAGGCGCATCCTTCATAGTTAGGCTCAGAACTTTCCAGTCACCCCAGGCACTGAAAGGGTTACAACTCACGGCATCCTGAAATGAATCTAAGAAAAAGGATATGTAACCATGGTAACAGCTTAGCTGTGATAACCAAATGTCTGTACATGATCAATAAATCACTTGATTAAAAGACGATATTTATTGATTTTACATTGAAAGTTGTTTTGTCACATCATTGAGAGAAAAGACAACAATCTATCATCTTGGAATTCTGTTCCACATTTCACACGATCAACATGATTAAGATATCAGATACTTCAAAGTTGCCAGTCAGACAGCACCCATTTCTTCTGAATATCAAGTTGCACATTGTACCACATCAGAGTCAGCGATCAACAAGCACTCTTATTAATTGTGGTCATATCAGTGTTCAAGGTTGATCTGAATCAGTCCTCCTCAAACAGCATCTGCACCATGGCATCCTTCGCACACTGTGCCTCCTCCAGTCTCTGTGGCTGAAGTACACAATCAAACACAGGATTAACAAGAAGACCAATCTCATTAAAATCAGATCTGAGTTCTCGCTATCGCTAAACATGGGAGGACATCCCATTACGGGTCACGTCAGAACGACCTTTCATCCGACAAATCAAAGCGTCGCTTACCAGATCATGAAAGTGACAGTCTGAATGTGTTTTCTAAACAAGCAACCTCGAAAACGTTAAAACGGGGTATTCCGAACGACAGTTACCGTCAAAATTATCGTCTGTCTCTCGCGTCCGTAGGATAAACATTTGAACGGAGGAGGCGTTGCACAGTACTATGGGAGCACTACAATACAATTGTAACCACATATTAGACATTCCGGGTTCTTTTGTTCAGTTTTCAAAATTTTAATCGAGAACAGTGTCAACATATTTTTCAAGCGTAGTCTGAAATGGAAGTCGCCAGGTTGAAACGAGTGCCGTAAAGCTCAAGAAAGCTGCTTTCTAATTGGCTGATGTCGACTTCTGGTTCTTCGTCTCAGTGGTCGGTCAAAGTTTGCAAAAGGTCGTTCTGACGTGACCTGTAATGGGATGTCCCCCGATCTTTGTTTAGCGCCAGCGAGATCTTAGATCTGATTTTAGTGAGATTGCAAGAAGACACACATATCTAGACCTGCTTACAGAGGCACAGATATTTGGCTACAAATCTGCAGCAAATGTCAGCGAACATTCTCAAACTGGAATTTAAATTTTCAAAATTATCTCAATAGTTTTTACTCAATAGCTTTCTAGAGGTGAGGGGGCACGGGTGGCCCAGTCGTCTAGGGCGCCGCGATTAGCTGTGCAGAGTTGCGTCCCTTGGGCACTCCAGAAACCTATGATGGTGGGTTTGAATCCGATTTTGATTTTAGGTTTGTCAGGTGTGGGTTTCACCGAAGCAGTAAATGTCTGAGACCTGCATACCTTCGGGCTTTCCTCCCACATTAAGCTGACACGCTGTAATATAACTGAAATACTGTTAAAAGCGGCATTAAACCCAACTCACTCACTCACTCACTCTAGAGGTGACTTTAATTTCACTGATACAAGGACCAATTTGTACATACTTTGGAAGCCTAGAAACATCCCTGGCAGGAGTGACTTAGGTTGGTTCAAAGCTGCTTTGAACAGCCTGTCAGTCAAAGGATGCATGTATTGGATGTTCACCACTTTGGTGAAACCCAAGGGCACAGGTATGGGCTAACAAACCTAGGAACATAATCGGGGCGAACCTGGATTCAAACCCACACTCGTTCGTTTCTTGCATGTCTAAGGGACGCAACTCTGCAGAGTTGTCTTTCATTCACTAGTAACAATAGCAATCTGGAATTTCAAATTTGTATTTATATATTTTCAACACACCTATTAAATTTCAGGCCATTACTTTTGTAAACCAACTAAAAAACTTAAAAGACCTAAGTCATCCCATTAAATGAGTGAGTGAGTGAGTGAGTGAGTATGGTTTTACGCCGCTTAAGCAATATTCCAGCAATATCACGGCGGGGGACACCAGAAATGGGCTTCACACATTGTACCCATGTCGGGAATCGAACCCAGGTCTGCGGCGTGACAAGCGAAAGCTTCAACCACTAGGCTACCCGACCGCCCCCCTCATTAAATGAAATTAGGGTTCGCTTTTAAGGCCACAATTTTGAATTCTATCTATGCTCAACCCTGATTCAGAAGAGGCATTGTGATTGGTTGTTGGTAACAGTGCATGAGCAAGTGAAATGTTTAGAGCAATGCTTGTGTCAAGAGAGATGGTGACATCACGTTCAAAAACAAAGCTGTGGTGACAACATGGACAAATGGGTCAGGATGGTCAATGTTGATACTTGCCAGGCATCTAGTACAAAATATTTCCCTAAAAATATTAGGGCTGGGACGATACATCAACTGTGCAATCCAATCCGTATCACGATACCTCGCCCATGATCTGATATGTATCACGATACTTGTATGTGCTCTTATCTGTGGTGTGTAAACCAAATCTTTCATAGACAGGAATGCCAAATCCTGGCACACTAAAGATTTACATTTGGAAGTGTCAAGTATAGTAAATGGATGAAAATATTTATGTTTTTACTACTCATTTTGAGTAGCAATTCGTGTTTGGTGTAACATTCATTAAAGAATACATTTAAGGTAAGAAACAATACTTTTTTACTTAGTGTGCAGTTCTGATTGCATCTTCCCGAGGCAAGAGAGTTAACTGACTATAAAAGTCCAGTTTCCACCCTTGCCGAACTAGGCTGGAATTACTGGGGTCGATTGTAGCGCCACCAGTGGCTATTACCAGTCATGTCTCTTCTAAGCCTCTCCTATTGACCAATCAGACTCCACCTCTCGTATCACTTGCGTTTGCTTCACACAAAACGGTGGCGCCCAGTCAAGACGATCTGATCGATAATCAAGATCTATATTGTGATAAAACGGGTTTTACATCGCGAAATGCATCAAATCACGCGACCACCTTGATTAAAACATGAAAAGATTTGGAAAATATCTGCTGACAACGAGTTGGCGGTGCACATACTTTGCAAATCCTGCAATTGACCAAAATCTGCACGAAAGTTTACAAACCGGAGTTAGATTTCGGTGCGCGATTTTGATTGGACTATACATAGACTCGTTAATCCAGCCAAAATGTAACTCCATAATACCAGCCTAGTTGGCAAGGGTGGAAACTGGTCTTTTATAGTCAGTTAACTCCCTTGCCTCAGGAAGATGTTCTGATTGATACTTGCAATCCCCCGATGCAATGATATATCGTCCCACTTCTACAAAATATGTCAAATTACCAACATAGCCCATTGAAATATAAGGCAATTCTTATCACTGTTTAACTTGTCCCTTTGCAGTACAACTTGGGAGCCCTAAATCACTGAACCTGTTTGTCATCCCCACTTGACATACAACAGTCACACTGGTAGTTTATGGTCATATTGTCACATGACAACACAATTACTTCACAATAGGCTGGTCAGATTTAATATTCATATTTTAGGTAAGCTATGTCAGCAGTTATTGGTGGTATAATCATATTTTCGGGCTTTATTTTTTAAAATTTTTACGTCACTACAGGACTATAAACATGAAAGGTTATAAAAAAGGTCTTCTTGTGAATCTGCAAGTTGTAATTGAATATTTCATGTGGGTTGACTTTCAAATCAACAATTTTCTTTAAATAATCAGGATAAACAAGTTCAATATCCATGGATCTCAGAACTCTTCAGACCTGTGAAGATCAGGGGAAGAATAGGACTTCAGCAACCAATGCTTGCCGTAAAAGGTGACTATGCGTGTCGTAAGAGGCGACTAACGGGATCGGGTGGTCAGGCTCACTAAGTTCATGCATGTCATCATATCCCAATTGAGTGGATCGATTATCATGATGTCAATCACTAGACTGTCTGGTCCAGACTCGATTATTTACAGACCGCCGTCACATAGCTGTAATATTGCTGAGTGCGGCGTTAAACAACAAACAAACAAAAAAACACAACTCTTCAGATGGGCCATGCACATGATGCGTTTGAATGGAAATGATTTGTTTGGAAGAACCAGAACTGTTTTTGTTTTTACGGACAACTGACGACAAATACACACAGTATTCATTCACACAAAACGCTTCTTACCAATTTAGGGGCAAAGTTCTACATTGTTTCTGACACATGGGTTACCAGTACCTCATCCATCAGTTACCATGGTTACTGCTTATCAAATGAGCAAAAAGGAAAATACAATTTTGTTTTCATCTTTTAAGTGAGTGAGTTGGGTTTAACGCCGCTTTTAACAGTATTCCAGTCATATCATGGCATGCCAGCTTAATGTGGGAGGAAAGCCTGAAGTGATGCAGGTCTTAGATGTTTACCACTTCAGTGAAACCCACAAGCATGGGTATAATGCTGACAAACCTAGAAACATAATCAGGGCGAACTGGGATTCGAACCCACAATCATAGGTTTCTGGCGTGTCCAAGAGACGCAAGCGACGCAACTCTGCACAGCGAATCGCGACGCCTTAGACGACTGGGCCACCCGTGCCCCCTCATCTTTTAAGAAAGAGGAACAGGTGAATATATTTTCGAAGTAACAGAAGAAGACTTAGTATTGCATGCGTAGATTTGACTATCAAATCATACAGACTGATGCTTACTTTTCCAATTCTCAGTAATGTGGGAACACTCTTCAAGGCAAGATTTGGATCTGTGCGGAAGATGTTGCTTTTGTCTTTCCAGCTGAAATACATTTGAAAGATTAAACACCTTAAAACTGAATAAAAAAAAATATGCAATAATAACCCCACCTCACACCTACCTCCAGGGGTCACATGATACTTTTGAATGTTGATAGTCTATACCGTATAGATATGGTAGATGGTAAGCAATAATTTATAGGGTTATTTTGACTTGATAATGAATGCTGTTATTGCGTTAACGGACAGAAATTAGCACTAGCCTGCTATCCTGGACCATTTTTGTTAATGTTAAGGTATCCTAAGGACTAGTAATAGAATTTAAACATTTGTGGGGAATTAATATATGATATCACTATTTGGGCTACTGGATTTTCTTGGTTAATTTCCGTCCGTGATTAACATTTAATTATAGAACATTCTCATTGACTGGCAACAATTCAACACTTGTTGAAGCCCAATGGCCTGAAACTTAGCATGATACAAACAAATACATGACACTTATGACATCAAATGTCAATTTAAGCTCTTTTCAACCGGGTTGTGGCTAAAGCGGCACCCCAGCAAAACGGCACAGATTGACGAAAACAGAACCATGGTCAGAGCAAAAACAGCTACTAACATGACTAATATTCAATGTAACTCAATGTCAATCTGCAATTGTATACAAGATGCATGACAGGGTGCTGTCAGATCTCAATTCTTCACAATTTATCAAATTGTTTCTTCACACAGCAGCACACTGCTCTGCTCTTCATGGCCCAGGAGTGTAAAGAAAATGTGACACACTTAACATGCTTAACATGCTTAAGATGACCATGATAATTGTGAATAGTGACACATGGTGACAATGATGGTGATAAATAAACCAAGCAATATAAATTAAAAAAACATCTATACTGGTGCCATTTTAGCTCGACAATCAGTAGCTGTTTTTGCAAAAGCAGTGCCATTTTTGCCCGATGAAAATCGGTGCTGTTTTAGCCTGCACCCTTTTCAAACACATCATATATTTGGTTGATTAGAGATTTCCAGTATTTGTGGATGAAATATACACATTATACATGGACAAACCCCCTGTTGAATATTCTGAAACATGTATTAATGGTCATACTTACAAATCACGAGGTCCTACTTTACAGTGGATCAAAATAGCATCTTCTGGTGCACTCTTCAAATTCCTCATCACAACAGGTTCAGCTGGAACAGGTGACCTTGTCTTAGCAACATATCCATATTTTAATGATAGGTGTCTAACTTCAACAATCAACATACACAAACTTGCATCTGTCTGCACAACCACATATTCTGTTGGCCTTATTTGGCTTTAGCTTTACCAGCTTACTGGTCAGAAGCAATCAGGTAGCCTGCAAAACTACGTCTACATCTTGCCTACAGGTTCGTCACGCACCCTACTTGGGCTAAGTCGGTCTTGGTGAATACGAAATCACCAATTAAAAACAGCTCGATAGCAACAAATATTCCAATACTAGGGGGTGTACTGAAGCTGCTGTACATGTGATGTGCATGCTCGGAGTCGGATACTCAATATTTTCTTACCAACGACGCAATCAGGGCACCAGCTCTTCCCTTGATCATCCACATCACCACAGAACAAAGCAAAGACGACCTTGTCTTTGTTCTCATCGGCTGCTTTCTGGAAGGCTTCGAATCCCTTCACTTCGACTTCTTTCACCATGTTGATTTATTTAGGTTGTCCCACGCCTCTCGAGTAATGACCTTTACCTTCGTCAGTGACTACTACATGATAAACTCGTATTTATCATAATGTTCTTAAATAGCTCAAAATTGTATAGTAGTTTGATTCAAACAGAATGTAATAGAAATGTATACTGTTTGTACATCATTCATAGGTTTACATGATACCCTCAGATTATAATTAGGGGGAAAATATTTATCGATTTAAATATAGAGGAACTCTTCTCAAGGTGAGATAGACAATTTTTGACCGGAAGTTACAGATCTGTCTGCGTTGAGATTTAATTTCGTTGAATTTTGAGGAACATTTCACATTTTGCAATTCAAAGGTACCCTATTTTAACTGAAGAATCACGGCAAGAATGCCAATGATACATTTTCGGCCACCGTTTTAATACATGACAACGATGTGGTAAATGTTCGCACCATTAATATTTTGGTGTAAATGTCACATGTCATCGGTTTTCGCGCACTGACTTAGCAGCCCTAGAAAATCATCAACTTGAGCGATGAATGGTAGGCAGTTGGGAAAAAGTGTTACTGCAATTATTGAACTAGCTTTACCAGCTTGAAGCTAGACTAAAGACAAATGAGACATTCTAATTAGCCAAAATTGTACCACAGGACCACCATCGTCGGGGTGCAGGCTAAAACGGCAGCTCAGCAAAACGTCAGCTCAGCAAAACGTCACCGATTTCTCTGGCGAAAACGGCACCGCATTTGGCGTAAACGGCTACTATGTGTCGGGCGAAAACGGCACCTCTATTTTTAAGAACGATAACAACGATTTTTGTAGTAATATATAGGGTATTTTATGTATTTACATGTCATTTGATGTATGTGATGTATTTACATTGTATTTCCCGTTTTCACAGATAAGTAAATATGTTCATGAAAGGCTGTAACAACAAGTTCGTCCCAACCTTTTTCTTGTTAACATTCAAAATCATGTTTAGTATGTTTATGGGCTTTAAGAAAAGCCAGTGGGGTTTGGATGGGGGGGGGGGGTGCTCGTGGGTCATACCTAGCCCACGTCCTACTTGGGTCAGGGAGAGATCTCCATCTCCATCCTATAGTTGGAGTAGAGGCTAATTTCTAATGTAAACTTGTTTTAACATCTCACAATTATTTGCGTTTGCAAGTTACAATGTAAGTTAAATATCATTTATTTGACCAAGGTAAAAAAAAAAAAGGTGCCGTTTTTGCTGGAGTCAAGGTGCCGTTTTCGCTGGAGTCGAGGTGCTGTTTTCGCCAATTGGTGCCATTTTCGAGGTGCCGTTTTCGCTATAACCCCCATCGTCGCTACCACATTTACCCAGTGACCAGCAGTTGATTGTTAGCTTGATGTGCATTGACTGTACAGGTTTAAACATTGTACCATAAGTCTCTCTCTCTCTCTCTCTCTCTCTCTCTCTCTCTCTCTCTCTCTCTCTCTCTCTCTCTCGCTTTTGTTGGGTACGAATTGTGAAGTTTCCCATATACATATATAATGAATATGTTTTATTAACCTTTATAAAAAAATATGTCGCTAGGACACACATCTGTATATATTTCTTTGTGTTGGTAGACTGGCCACCATGATGGATGAGGAGGACACCGCTTGCTGCCCCAAATGCACCACCTCCTTGACAGAACCCTTCATCCTCTGCACACAGTGTCAGCCCAACATCCACCTGTGCCTACACTGCTTCGCCCGTGGGGTAGAGTTTGGGGGTCACGAAAGCAACCATGCATACGCGATTTGTGTAAGGAGATGCATTGTCTTTTTTAAACATGTTATTGCCACCTTACCATGCTTTCTGTGCCCAATGTGAAATATGAAGCACATCATATTTCACCTCTGTGCTCTGATACAGTATTTTCGGGTACCAAAACTGTCCGTCAGATTTTGTTACAACAATCCATAATTTGGTCCACTGTTAGTTAAAACGGAACAGCAAATTATGAGATGGAATGTAGCAACATACTATATGTAGGAATTTGTCAGTTTGTTTTGATGACTTCTTCTAGCATGGCTATATTAAGACAAACTGACAAAGGTAGCCATATTTTGTATATGACTAATGATACATGGTGTTTGTTTTCAATTGGACAATTCACTGGTCAGTTTTGAATAACAGTCACTGTTTTGACCAGACAAATGACTACTGACACACAGCCTAAAGGGTTAATGATGTTAATCTTTAAATGTTATCTACTTTCTCAATATACTGATAACACTGCATTGTAGCAATTAGTATATTTGAACATCTTACATTGACAAGCATGGTAGGGTAGCCTAATGGATAAGGACTTCCTCTTGTCACACAGAATGCCTGGGTTCAATTCCCTATTTGTGTACAGGTGTAAAGCCCATATCTTGTGTCCTCTGAATTCATATTGCTGGAGACCCGTGAAGATTCCGGGGTAGAATAGGTCTTCAGCAACCCATACTTGCCGTAAAAGGCGACTATGCTTGTCGTAAAAGGCGACTAACGGGATCGGGTGGTCAGGCTCGCTGACTTGGTTGATACATGTCATCGATCCCAATTGCGTGGATCGATGCTCATGATGTCAATCACTGGATTGTCTGGTCCAGACTCGATTATTTACAGACCGCTGTCATATAGCTGAAATATTGCTGAGTGCGGCGTAAAACAACAAACCAACAACAACAAACTTTGTTCTCTTCTTATGACCAGCATAGGTTGCTCGGGACCAGTTGTAACCCAGAATCCCCACGGGGCATTGAGTAAGTGTGAAAATGAGAAGATCTTGATACACTTTCTTAAACAAATATGATAGCAGACACAATTAACTGTCGTCATATAGCTGGAATATTGCTCAGTGCGGCGTTAAACAACAAACAAACAAACAATCATATTGCTGGAATGTTATTAACAGTGACGTAAAACTATTCCATCACTATAATATTGATGTTTCAGAAAAAGGACTTTCCCGTGTTTGAGAGTCAGTGGTCTGCTCAAGATGAGGAGAGACTACTGAGTCTTGTCCAGGAGAATGGATACGGGAACTGGTAAGATTTTCACAAACTCAACAATAGGACATGCCTGCCAAATACAGCACCCTCGATTATCCAGTGTATTGTACATTGTTGTACCGACTGTCTTTTTGATAAAAGACCACCTCCGTGGTATAGTGGAAGAGCGTCCGCCGGAGAGCGGAAGGTCCAGGGTTCGATCCCCGGCCGCGTCATACCAAGACGTTAAAAGATGGTACTTGTTGTTACCCTGTCTGGCGCTCGACATTAAGGGGCTAAAACAAGGACTGGTCGGCTCGGAGTCAGTATAGTCTGTGTGAGTGGGGTATTCATTTTAAACTGCGGCATGGTATCTCAGTGGGCTAGCAATATAAATTGGCATCAGTCCGGACTAGTACAAGCACACACACACACACACACACACACACACACACACACACACACACACACACACACACACACACACACACACACACACACACACACACACACACACACACACACACACACACATGCTATATAAGTGCAATAATCTTGGACGTGACGTTAAACCCAATTTCACCTCACCTCACCTTTTTGATAAACACCCTGGACCAATTTAGCACCATAGCTTTGTTTTCACAGGGACGGCTCTAACTCTACCGCCTTTAGAGTCTACAACCAGTCACAGTGACATTTTTAACAATTCCTATACATAGATCTCGTTTTTTCAAAGGGGCGGTGGGGTAGCCTAGTGGTTTAAGCGTTCGCTAGTCACGCTGAATACCCAGGTTTGATTCCCTACATGTGTACACTCACTGATTCTTTTTTCAAATAACAGCCTTTCAATAAGAGAACCCTTGAGAAATAAATGTGGAGGAATGTACAAAGAATACAATGAATACAAAGTGAACAATAGTGTCATTTGATTTGATGACAGTTATTAACCTGCCATTTGAAGAAGTCTCAAAGACTAATCTTTGGTTGCCACTGGCTCCTGATATTTGTATTTGTTTTTATAGATTGATGGAGAATACAAGTGCCAGCACAGCCAGACGTGCAGTAAAGACATATAGACAAAAGAGATTGGGTTTAGTGTAGCTGTGGCAAAGTCAAATATCACACTGAGACTATGACCGTATAATTGGAGATTCCATTGATTTTTTTCCTTGAAACACAACTTGTTTCCCTGACAGTCATTAAGCATTCAGGGGATAAAATAAATCAAGGACTGGTCAGTTCCGAGTCAGTATACTGTGTCTTAATGGGGTATCATGTTAAACTGCAATCTCATTAAAATCAGACCTTAGTTCTCGCTACCGCTAAACAAAGACCCGAAGACATCCCATTAGTGGTCACGTCAGAACGACCTTTATCCGACCTATCAGAGTGTCGCTTACCAGATCATGAAAGTGACAGTCGGAATGTGATTTCTAATCATACAACCTCGAAAACTTTAACACGGGGTATTCTGAATGATAGCTACGGGTTTAACGACTGAATCCTTACAATCTAGACCATCTATTAGCCATTCCAGAATGTTGTTTTGTTTAGGTTTCAAATTTGTAATCGAGAATTTGTCAAAATGTGTTTCGAAGCGTAGTCGCCAATTTGAAATTAGTGCCGTAAAGCACGAGAAAGCTGTCTTCTGATTGGTCATTCCACTGGTCAGTCAAAGTTCACGCAAGCTCGGTCTGACGTGACCCGTAATGGGATGTCCTCAGATCTTTGTTTAGCGGTAGCGAGAACTAAGATCTGATTTTAATGAGATTGTGTTAAACTGCAGCATGGTGTCTCCGTTAGCCACACAGTATACAACTGGCATGTCCAGACCAGTACAAGCTGCCACATGCACACATGCATGAGAAAAACTGTATGAGTGAAATAATCTTGAACACAGCATTAAGCCCCACAATGGAAGAGACAACAGATGAACTCAGGGGCGGTCGGGTAGCCTAGTGGTTACAGCGTTCGCTCGTCACGCCGAAGGCCCAGGTTCGATTCCGCACATGGGTACAATGTGTGAAGCCCATTTCTGGTGCCCCCTGCAGTGAATATTGCTGGAATATTGCTAAAAGCGGC